GGAAGGGAAGTACTTATGTTAGTGTGCTGTTCATTACTTGCTGCTAGGCCAGGAGTGGGCAATAATTTTTTGCCCAGGCCACACCAGAAGAAGCAGGGCCTCAAAGGGAAGGGGCAGGGCCAGGATGCTTCTAGGCTTCCCACTCACAGACCATGATTGGTCTGGGAATGGGGGAGATCCTTTACTCCACCATGCCCCTGGCAGTGGGAGGAGACTTGGGGGCGGGGCAGTGCCCAAAGTCTCTGCCTGCCCTGACAGGACTGAGCGGCACTTCTAAGTGCCACACGCTCTTCTCAGGGCGGAGGAAACTTTGCATGCTCCCTCCACCCTCAGGCCCTGAGTAGTCTGGGGGTGGGGGAGCATGCCACGCCTCCTCCCGCCCTGCCAGGAGTGTGTGGCACTTCTAAGTGCCACTCGCTCCTCGCAGGGTGGGGGTAAGGTGGAGGAAACTTTGCACACTCCCCCACCCCCAGGCCAATCAAGCACTAAGCGCTCCTGGCAGGGCGAAAAAAACTTCATGTGCTTTCCTCTACCCCCAGGCTGTACTTGGCTTGGGGGTGACGGAACAGCAGGGCACTCTGTGGGCCAGATCAACCCTCTTGGTGGGCCATATCCAGTCTGCGGAGGCCCTTTTGCCAACCCCTGTGCTAGCCAATTGGTAGCAAAATAGCTTGGGATTTAGAATTACCTCACAGAAGTCAATGGGATTTAAAAATGTTTGTCTGAACAATTTGGTCTTTATGGTAGCCAAGAATTTGAATAAAATCTTCTTTCATTTATTTGCATGCAGCCCTGTTGATATTAGTGGAGATCCAGGGGTATAATTTAAGTCATACAGGTTCTTTAAAATGCTCTTGCTACCTGTATGTTTGTTTGCCTTCCTAACAAATTTTTAAAGTGTAGGAGTATCTGTCTTTGTCCAGTTTCTGTTCTCACTGATAGCTAAAGCACTGCTTCTCTGTTTCTATCCTAATAAAGGATTTGGCCACTGAAGTCTAATGCATAGTTCAACTAAGTAATAAAGATGTTTTCTCTGCAAACAGGGTTATTGTGGGACCTGTGTAATTTGGAAATGATGCATTCTAAGAACACTGAATTCCCGTGTAATCATTTAGTACTGCACATATGCACATTAAATGAGATTGCATAGTATATGTAATTATTACCAACTAGGCCTTGGAAAATACTTGTTAAGCTTAGTGAATAAATGTGGTAAAATAGAAGCAGCTTAATGACAATAATTATCTACAATAAAAGCGCTAAGAAAATACATTTGGTGGGTTTTTTTTTACTATTCTTATTTATATAAAAGAAAGAGAAATTATAGCTGGAACAACTCTATTTAAATCTATCATATCCATATATCCTAAATGCGAGTATATCGACCACATATGTAAACAGTGCCATGAAGTTACAATGGCTTTGTATATCAGAATGCATTGTATGGGACCAAGTCTTGATTAGTGAACGAAGCAGAAGAGTGAAAGGCAGAGCTAATGGTTTCTCATTCCAGTTCCATTGCCTGCTTCCCGTGTGGCCTTGGTCAAGACTCTTAACCTCTCTCCCATACTTTACCTTTATGTAGAATGGTCTTGCTCATCATCTCAATGTCAAAGGGATAAAATAATCATTCTAAACCCTCTAACTTCTCTTGAACTGAACATTTTTTTAATGTCAAAGAGGTGGCATTAGTGCTTCTGGTTTACCTCAACAAATATTATTTTATGATTACATCTAAATAGAGGCTATGGAGGAGCAATAGACCACTGATCAGTATCTTTTCTGTAGACCTTCACCATGAAATTCCTCCCTTTATGTAGGCCATCAGCATTGTGATAATAAATCATAGTGATAGAGTTAGTGGGATCCATATACTAAAGATGAACTACTAAAAAAGCACAGCTCTGCAGTGCTGCTTTTTAATAAGTAGCATTTATTTAAGAGAAAGAAGTATCTAGTATAAAAGAAGATCCCTTTTTTTTTAAAAAAAAGCATATAACACTTGGTAGCCGGTACAGCTTCTCATGACCATATGGGGAAAATAGTTCTGTGGGAGATGTCATTGGTAGTTAAGAGCAAGATGGAGTCCTTGGCTGCAAAAGAGATTCAGCCTGTTAAGTGATGGATGGTAACCATCCCCTTCTCTTTTCTTCTATGCTGTGCTGGTGGATTACTGGTACAGGTTGGACTTCTCTGGTCCAGCACCCTCGGGACCTGACTAGTCCCAGATGAGGGACTTGATTCTATTAGACATTCAAGGCTTGATGGCACAGAGGTAAAACCATGTGCACTTGGTCTACTCTAACTGGTAATGTCTATGTACAGGTTGAGCCTCTTTAGTCTGGCACCTTCTGGACCTGACTGGTGCTGATCCAGAGAATTTGCTGAAACACAGGAGGTCAATATTGTCTAGCAGCATTACCAACACTTCTACTGGTTACTGGCTCTTAGAAAACATTCAGGGGTAAATTAGAGCTAAATTACAGCACAGAAGACTGAGCGCCCGGACTGGTGGCTGTAAACAAACTTTATGGGACTGCAGGAAACTTGGCCATGCCCATGATAGGTGGACATCTGACTAACTATAATCATGCTGGACCACGGGTGTTGCTGGACTAGAGAGGTTCAACCTGTAGTAAACATTTTTAAAGCAGAGATGATTCTTTATAGTCTGTAGGGTCTTTTTCAGCCCAACAAAAAGAAAAATATTTCTAAGCATGAAGAGCTGTTGTTTTTCAGCTGTTTTAGGATGTTTTATGTAAATCAACAATGATCAAATGTGTAGACGAGCAAAAAGGGATATAAACATAGGTGTAGAGATGAAAAATGCAAAGTAATCAGTGGATGCTGGAGAAGGAACTGCAGGTCAAAAAGGGAGGTTTGGTTATTAATTGTCAATACTCCTATGCAGGGGGAGGAAATGAACAGCGTAGACACACAATGTGCATATGCGACCATCGGACTGAACCTCTCACATGAAAGAGAATTTAATTTCCTCTTGTCTGTTTAATACTGTCCTGATATTGCTTTCTGGTGTATTCAATCTTTGTAGTAGTTGCCGAAAGGAAAGTGTAGAATCTGTATTGGGAGGCTGGTTGTTATAATGTGGGATCCCTGAGAGGGTTTTAACCTTAAGAAATGGTCCAAATCTGTAAAAGGCTGTGGACTGCTGCAATTTGCTACCAATTAACACTGAGAAATGCTTGGGAGAGTAGCTTTTGGGGAGTTTGTGGAGCATAGGATTTTTTCTGCAGATTTATTCCAGTGCCTCTAGCTAAATTATATGGGCAATGCCAAAAGGAACCTGCACTAACTCTACTATTTTTTTTTCTTACTGGCCTTTCTCCACTCAATATTACTTTGGTGTATCTCTAACATTTGTGAAAATTTGGAGTCTTACCTCTGCCTCCAGCCCTTAATTCAAGACTTTAAAAAGAACTTTTGCAAAGAAGTGGGTGGATCCTTTATAAGTTGGTTTGGTAAGGACACAATAATTTATAATGTCTTCTCATTATCTCTTGACTGAAACAGTAACATGAGCACTCTTCATGGGATAGAGAGGAAATGCATATTAACCTGTGTGTGTGTGTGTGTTTGTTTTTAAAAAAAATCTCTTACTTAAATTGATTTTTACTATATAAAATATTTTTGTTTATCAGTGTCCTTTTTTGATGTCTAGAGAGTCATTCCTTCTCTTGTTAAAGTAAACAATTAAATATGTTTATATTGGGACAATGCCCACTGCATATCTTACGGTATGACAGGTCGAGGAATAGTCAGGGAAATGCTATGTAGAAGGCTCTACTAAGACTAGCACAGTGCAGGAATGGAGGTGCAAAGAAAGCCAAGAGCAACAGAAGAAGAGAGAATTTAAAGGAGTGTAGACAATGACAAAGTAAGTGTGTGTGGGGGAGTATGAATAGGAGAATATGGAAGTAGGGATGTAGGTTGGGTACAGTTATGTAGGACCTTGAAAATAAGGATAGGAACATACATTTGGAAAAGGAAGTCACCAGGGGGATAGAAAGGTTGGAATGGTAGCAAAGAAATAGGACTCTGGCAACCTCAGCTCATAGAGGTGGAGGTTACTCTTGGCACGGTGAGAAATGTTCAAGAATCATGCAGCAAAAATTTAACAGTGGGGATGATGAGAAAAAGGTCAGTATGGGTTATGTAAAATAGGAAGAAGTGACAGAATCTAGAACAACTGAATATGGGAAAAATAGATGAAGATGAAAGAAATTCATGTTTAAAGATAGCTTGAGATATTGCTAGGATTTTGGTCAGAATTTGAGTTGCTGGTAGGTCATGATAGGACCACAGTATGCATGTCTGTGAAGGGAGGAGAGAGAGAGAGAGTGTGTGTTGAGAGTGTGAGAATAGAAATGTGGTTAAAGATGGAGGACAGGAAGAGATCTCCTACAGAAAAAAGGGAGAGAATTTCAGAAATTAAATGAGGCTCCTGGGTGAAGCTGTAATTGGCTCACATTAAATCAAAGAGTTAGAGTTTCAGTAACACCTCTAAATGGAGACTTTGGAAATAGCTAAAACAAAGAATACAGACTTTGGCTATTCTATAGGTACGAGTGTGTATTTGTAGTTACAATGTGTGTTGCATTAACCCTTCTGAAAGTCTTGTTTGATAAAGAGTTTGCGTTTGCTTGCTTTTTGCTGATGAATACAAGAATATAATAAGTTTGCTTTTTTGTCCCTGAAAATCTCTAATAATTATTCTTTCTAACATGTAGACTACCATCGAAGAAGCAACGTGCTTCTTGCACTATAAAAGTATGCATTAATATTCCTGATCTGGAAAAAAAAGTTTGCACAATGAGTCTCTTTTGTAGAAACTATAACAATAAAATGATCCAGTTGATTCTGGATAAACTTAACATTAGTTCCTTTTTACATGTTATATAGACCTTTATGGTGTCAAGGAGCTGTGAGTGAAAAACATAGAAAGGACAAGCTTACTAATTAAAAATATTTCTTTCTCGTAGGTTCAGACATTGTTCAGTGGTTAACGAAGAATTTAGCTATAGAAGACCCAGGTAAATTGTTTTTTTTCCTTATTAAAAATTCTGCTTCGTGGGTCTGTTGAGTTCTAAGGTCTTTGTTCTTTCTCTGGCCTGTAGGGATGCCAGCTGATGAATAGATAGAATTTGATTCACGGGTTCCTGATGGTTAAGAGCTACTGATGGTTAAGTGCGGCAGAAGGGTTACACATGCATTTCCCCCCCCCCATTGCTGCCTGCAGCAGGTGGGGCGGAGGAGGCAGAAGTTGATGCCTATGGGGAGCCAGCTTTTAAGGCTCCCCATGATCACTGGAGCTGGCTCCCTCCATCCCCCATATTGCTGCCTCTATTAGATGTGGGGCAGGGGAGACTGCCATGGAGTAGCTTCTGTCCATGGTGGGCCTGGACAGCTCCTGTTTGAGGGGGGTCTGAGCTCCTTTGGACGGAGGCAGTTCCGCATTCCACAGAGCAGCTTTTATCTCCCGCAAGCCTGGGCCCCCAATGGACAGGAGCTGCTGCCACCCTGTACTGTTGGTGGAGCTGGTCTGTGTGAGGACCAGCTCCCACCTGCCATCCCACACCACTGCCTCTTATAGAGAGACAGCCGCACAGGGTGGCCGGGGACTGCCTGAGAGTGGAGCCTGAAGATTACTGGCTGCTGGCCCCACCCCTGGGGACTATCGAATAGTTGTGTAAGCAATAATATTTTGAGGCAGTTATGCAGCTATTCAATTACACACTATCTAACGTCCCTACTTCAGAGGGGTTTTGTGAAGGTAAATTCTAGTGCCAAGGGACAGAGTCAGTGCTCACAGGACAACTCCCTCTGATTCTGAGAACACTGGATCCTCTTGTTAGGAAGGGCCAGAGATGCTTGTTAGCCTGAGGTAAGTGAAGAAGCTGGGCAATAATGTAGCATGTTAGAATTAAATTTTTGGTACTAGAAAGTATGTTGTCTTGGTTTTGTCTGTACCTCTTTCTATCTCCTTTATCCTTGTTTGGTATCATGTATATCTCTGATTTTTATTAATAAACTTGTCCTAAGTTTTATTATAAAGCATCTTTGTGCTGTTATATTGAAGTAAAAAATGAGCCCCCAGCTAACCTACCAGGCTGGGGTGAATGCTAGGATGTTAAATATTATGTAACTGAATAGTTGTGTAACCACATGAAATCTTAGTGGTTATACGAATATTCGACAGTCACCAAGAGCAGGGCCGGCAGCCAGTGCGCTCCTGACCCCACTCCTGGGGAGCCCCCAGCCACCATGCTGCTGCCCCTCTATCAGAGGCAGCAGCATTGGGTGGCAGGTAGAGGCTGGTCCGTGTGGGGAGACAGTTTAAAATCCAGCTCCCTGCGCAGACTGGCTGCCTGCTGCCCCATGCTGATACCTCTGATACAGAGGTGGCAGTGCAGGGTGGCAGCAACCCTTGTCCACAGGGGGTCCAAGCTCACCATAGACAGGGTACATCTAGACTACAGGCTTTTGTCGACAAAGGTTTTGTCAACAAAGTGCGTTTAGACTACATCCAGTTCTGTCGACAAAGCAAGCTGCTTTGTCAACATGATATGTAGACACTTCATAGCCTAGGAGCACAGAGACAGTGGGAGTAAGTGGAGCCATAGCTCAACATTCTGCCTGTTCCTGTCAGATCTGCTGGCTGACTGTGTAGGAGCAGTATTCTGAGCTTAGAATCATAGAATCATAGAATAATAGGACTGGAAGGGACCTCGAGAGGTCATCGAGTCCAGCCCCCCGCCCTCAAGGCAGGATCAAGCTCCGTCTACACCATCCCTGACAGATGTCTATCTAACCTGTTCTTAAATATCTCCAGAGAGGGAGATTCCACCACCTCCCTTGGCAATTTATTCCAATATTTGACCACCCTGACAGTTAGGAATTTTTTCCTAATGTCCAATCTAAACCTCCCCTGCTGCACTTTAAGCCCATTACTCCTTGTCCTGTCCTCAGAAACCAAGAGGAACAAATTTTCTCCTTCCTCCTTGTGACACCCTTTTAGATATTTGAAAACCGCTATCATGTCCCCCCTTAATCTTCTTTTTTCCAAACTAAACAAGCCCAGTTCATGAAGCCTGGCTTCATAGGTCATGTTCTCTAGACCTTTAATCATTCTTGTCGCTCTTCTCTGTACCCTTTCCAATTTCTCCACATCTTTCTTGAAATGTGGCGCCCAGAACTGGACACAGTACTCCAGCTGAGGCCTAACTAGTGCAGAGTAGAGCGGCAGAATGACTTCACGAGTTTTGCTTACAACACACCTGTTGATACAACCTAGAATCATATTTGCTTTTTTTGCAACAGCATCACACTGTTGACTCATATTCAACTTGTGGTCCACTATGACCCCTAGATCCCTTTCTGCCATGCTCCTTCCTAGACAGTCGCTTCCCATCTTGTATGTATGGAACTGATTGTTCCTTCCTAAGTGGAGCACTTTGCATTTCTCTTTATTAAACCTCATCCTGTTTACCTCTGACCATTTCTCTAACTTGCTAAGGTCATTTTGAATTATGTCCCTTTCCTCCAAAGAAGTTGCAACCCCACCCAGTTTGGTATCATCTGCAAACTTAATAAGCGTACTCTCTATCCCAATATCTACATCATTGATGAAGATATTGAACAGTACGGGTCCCAAAACAGACCCTTGAGGAACTTCACTTGTTATCCCTTTCCAGCAGGATTTAGCACTGTTAACAACAACTCTCTGACTATGGTTATCCAGCCAATTATGCACCCACCTTATCGTGGCCCTATCTAAGTTATATTTGCCTAGTTTATCAATAAGAATATCATGCGAGACCGTATCAAATGCCTTACTAAAGTCTATGACATTTACCGCTTCTCCCTTATCCACAAGGCTCGTTATCCTATCAAAGAAAGCTATCAGATTAGTTTGGCATGACTTGTTCTTCACAAACCCATGCTGGCTATTCCCTATCACTTTATTACTATAACAGGGCAGCTGCACTGTACTGGCCCTTTAAGAGTCAAACCCCAGCCTGGAGCAGGCCCAGGGAGTTCGGCCCAGCTGAGAGCCATAAAAGGGGAGGGCTGCTTCAGAGAAGGGAGTGTGGGCCTGGCTGCTGAGGGAGCAGGACGCTCCTTGGAGCTAGGGCAGGGCTAGAGAGTCAAGGCTCGGCCAGGGGTGCTCGGACAGACAAACTGCCAGCCTGCTAGGCCTGAAGTAAGGCCTCCCGGAGAGACACCAACCCCCGGAAGGGGGGCTCAGAGCGAGTGACTTGGGCACTGCCGGAGGGCAGTGTGGCGAAGAGAACGACGTGACTGGAGGATTCCAGAGGGGAAACCCCAAGCTGGAGTGTCTCCTCCTCCTTGGCGTCAGGTACTCTAGGATCTAACACGGGCTCCGACGGGTAGGGCGTGACCAACATGCCTTCTCGCTCTCGCCAAGGTTTGAGGCGGTTCACATGATATATTTGTTTTTTTCTTCGCCGGTCCAGCTGATGAATTTCATATGTGACCGGGCCCAATTGTCGGGAGACCTCATACGGCCCCTGCCAGCGGGCCAGCAATTTTGACTCCTCGGAGGGGAGTAACAGCAGCACCCGATCCCCGGGTTCAAACACTCTTGGCCAACTGTACGTTTTCTTGAGCCAATGCCCCCACCTGCGTGAGTCTCTCCTGAAGACGGAGTACGTACTGCAGAAGCCCGACCGAGGAGGAGGGGGTCCGTTCCCAGGTCTCTCTGACCAGATCCAGGATGCCACGAGGTCGTCTGCCGTACAGGAGCTCGAAAGGGGAAAATCGAGTGGAGGCCTGTGGCACCTCCCTCACCGCCGTACGTTTTCTTGAGCCAATGCCCCCACCTGCGTGAGTCTCTCCTGAAGACGGAGTACGTACTGCAGAAGCCCGACCGAGGAGGAGGGGGTCCGTTCCCAGGTCTCTCTGACCAGATCCAGGATGCCACGAGGTCGTCTGCCGTACAGGAGCTCGAAAGGGGAAAATCGAGTGGAGGCCTGTGGCACCTCCCTCACCGCCATCAAGAGCAGAGGGATGAGCTGGTCCCAGTGCTTCATGTCCGCTGGTGGAAACCTTCTCAGCATCCCCTTTAGGGTGCGGTTAAACCGCTCTACCAGCCCGTCGGTTTGGGGGTGGTAGACGGAAGTCTGTACCTTGTGAATGCCCAGAATGTCGCAGACCTGACGCAGCAACCGGGACGTAAAGTTCGTTCCTTGGTCTGTTAGGAGTTCCTGAGGTAGCCCCACCCAGGCAAAAATCCAAACCAATTCATTCGCGATCGTGCGGGCATGGGTGTTTCGAAGGGGGATGGCCTCGGGGAACCGGGTTGCATAGTCTATGATTGTTAGGATATATCGAAATCCAGCTGCGCTCCGCGGAAAGGGCCCCACTATGTCCAAGGCAATCCTTTCGAAGGGGGTCCCCACCACGGGCAAAGGGACGAGGGGGGCCTTCGGCACCCCCGGGGCTGCGGCGAGCTGGCAGGCTGGACATGACTGGCAGTAGTCTTTGACCTCTTTATACACCCCGGGCCAGAAGAAGTGGGACAGGACTCGGGCCAGGGTCTTCTCATGCCCGAGGTGCCCGGCGGCGGGAATGTCGTGCGCCAACCTCAGCACGGCTCGTCAATGGGCCCAGGGTACCAATAATTGGGCCTCTTCTTCCTGCGTCTGCGGGTGGCCCCCCCGGGGGCTGTGGCGAGCTGGCAGACTGGACATGACTGGCAGTAGTCTTTGACCTCTTTATACACCCCGGGCCAGAAGAAGCGGGCCAGGACTCGGGCCAGGGTCTTCTCATGCCCGAGGTGCCTGGCGGCGGGAATGTCGTGCGCCAACCTCAGCACGGCTCGTCGATGGGCCCGGGGTACCAATAACTGGGCATCTTCTTCCTGTGTCTGCGGGTTCCGCCCGACCCGATAGAGCCGGTCGGCTCATAACTCAAACCGGGGCCAGTGTGCCACCCTCTGCGGATCCACCACCGTCCCGTCGACACAGGCGAGCTGGACGTAGGCCTCCCGCAGGGTGGGATTATCCCGCTG